GACGGATGACTTTTTCTGTTTCCCAAAGACTGCATTCCTGACGATAGTTATCTCACAGGTCACGTATCCGCTAAATTTCCCCACGCTTGCAAAATCTATCGAACGTCTTGTCCTGTTACCGTATAGTTCGACTACTTCAACAAATCCTTCATTTTTTAGTTACCGTGTTTTTCAAAAATGCATCTTTTGTAACTGGAGTTTCCACATCCACCACGAACATTAGATTGGAGAGGGCAACGGACGCTTTACACAACACTTTGTGATCTTAAGTAACAATCAGGCACTCGCATGCTGCATTGGACAACGAAATCTGTGTTTGCACGCAATAGCTGGTATTTTTGCTTCTGGCAGATCATGAAGTAATAAGGAATTTAATTTTAACAACCTGATTTAAGTCCTATCATGTGCCTTAAGTGATATCATGTTTTTCTACGTTATAGTCGACAAACGGACAGCAGTGGAATTGGACGAAAAACACCGAGGTATCTTCTTCTTAAGTTTCCCATACCTACTGTAGTTATTTTAGCTGTTATGCCTTAATGCATTTTTAGTATGAGATCTCCAGCTCGTAGTCGAAAAGTGTTATTTTTAATTTATTCATACACTTTGTTTTTAGTAAAAACCTGGGAACAATAAAATCTCTTCGTGTTCTTCGAGTGCTTCGACCGCTGAAAACAATCAGAAGGGTTCCAAAATTGAAGGTGGGTGATGCAATACTTAACGTTGTTGTCAGCGAAAAAGTTTATTTAATGAACTAGAAAGGCAATCATTTTATTCTTGCATATATTGTGTGCATTTATATTTCACAATGTGAACAGACGGGATGCTTAATTTTGTTGACTGTTGTGTTATCCAAAAGCTTCCCCAAAGGATTTATTATATGGTTGGATAAAAAACTGAATGATGATTTGAAAAATTTGAGAAATTCCAAATATGACTATTTCTAGAGAATTTATCGTCGTCTTCGTTGTCATGCGTCACTTGGGCCACTTGCAAACGAATTGCGAAAGCGGAATGTGAACTGACGTGACAAATTAAAAAAAACATAGTAGTTTGTTCGACGGTAGCAAAGGATAGGATAAAATAGGATAACGTAATTTAACATGCTTTCCGTTGGCAGAACAGCTCGCGATAGATGTCGCGCAAGTCTGTCTTGCTACAAAGTAACTCACGTGTTAGTCGCCGAACCTGCACCCACTAAGTGGAGCACATGTAGACTTTGTCGCTCGCGACGGTCAAATTGTCACAGGAAAGGTGTCTTGCAACTAGTGGGAACTGCCAAAGACTGGAAGCTGTTTTCCGCGTTAGCCTACTCTATCACAACAGTGTACACGAGGCGGAGGTCGTCAGCATACAGACCTTGTCTGACGGGTGCTGGAAAAGAACTGGTGACGGTAATCCGTCGGTCCGCATCTGTACGACTCTCCACCACCCCGAGGCCAGCCACTGTTTAGTCTAGACTTGTCAGTGTGTCTTGAGCTACCACCCGGACCAGTACAATCTCGCAGCACTTTGTCATTTAATAAGGTACCCAGCACCTCTTTAACCTATAGCTGGATGATCAACTATCTTTGATTTTGCCACGCACTTATTTACGAGGGTGGCTGTGACTTCATTCCGATTATGCCTGTTGGTAGCCACAAACCCCACGTTTCATCAGAGACACGTGCTTTTAACTATCAACAAGTATATTACATTATATTTGAATTAACCGTGGACATTTATTTTCGGATCTTGTTACCAGATGTATTCAGAATATGTTCTCAACAATTTGGCTCATCGATAGGTTAAGTGCTTCAATTTCCAACTTGCTTTGAGGCTTTGTCAGCAATTTTGATTGAAGGAGCTCGATTTATTGTGTACTCTTGATTTGCTTTGAGGCACTATTTTACCCCTTTATGGTTCACTTGGGTTAAGGTGGTCCTATGAGTTGGGCGAAATGTTTCGCGGCATGAGACTTTTAACAAAAGAGCTCAGCAATGTCCATTTTGTAATGTAAGCGTCAAGCCAGATATTTCCGGCATTTTCCGAGCAGGTTAAACGACACGATGATGTGCGTATTTTAAAACATATGAAATGAACACATAGATGAATACATAGTCTTCTTGGTGTCGCAAGAGCTATAAAGTATGTTTTGAACTGGGCATGACGGTCACTGCAGATGACCTAGAAAGCCACTTCTTAAAGTTAATGCGTTAGTCTTCGAAGACGTATACATGATTGAAAGCAGTTTTTTCACTATACACTAGAGCACTGCTAATGGGATATCAGCAAACAGCCATCACTTCACTGTTGGAGACTCTAGGCAAACTCGGTGAAATGTCAACAGTCGTAGACCTGCCTTCCGACGGCGAATTTAAAAACGTAAATGGCCTATTACGGGATGTCTGCGTGGACCAGTCCTGCAGACCCGCACTATTAGAAAAAATTGCAAAACGCTTATTAGATCGCAGAATCAGAATAAGAAAAAGCCAAAACAAACGACACGTGGAACCTCAAAATTCAAAAATTACCTGAACACAAGATTGGCTACCCTGCTAAAATTGAAACATCCTAACGGGAATGCACGCATTGATTCAAAGTTTTCTCTTTCTGGGCATGTTTACTCATGCGGAAAACGTTTTCGCTACTCTTTACTTACAATTAAACCGGTTAGCAGCATTTCACATTACAGTGTCCGATTGGTTTAACCAACAGAAAAATGCGCATACGAGGGCGTACCAAATAAGGGGGCTTGTTTATTTACAGTTTTTAGTTAAGATAAAATCATAAAAAAGCATTAGTCTGCTTCAACTGACCGTTTGTTAGATTATATGCACTTAGCTCCAACCGGTTGGCCATTGTTTGAAACATTTTTATATTCTCCTGAAATAGTGCTACTAATTGCCTCTAACTGTATTTGATCAACCTCTTCTACGTTCTGTTAAAGCTTTCACTCTAGGTTTTCTTGATTCTGGGGAATAAGTACAGGTTCCTCTGTCCGCTGCGATAATAACTCGTGCCTACCATGGGGCCACCTGAACAGGAAGAGTGTCCGGTAAATTAGCCTAGCGGAAAAAGGCAGCATTGCCTAACCAACTAGTGTAGAGAATATCCTTCTCATTTTTGGCGTGCTCCCTTGCATTTACTACAAATGGCCTTTCTGAAACTGATTTACTTGTAAGTATCACGTTTTTTGCCAGTTTTAAATGCAATCACCCCATTTTTGCTCAATTTTCCAGGCTGTTTTCGATTGCGTGGTCAGTTCATTGAAAAATGTCTTCAACATTCTCATCGTCTACCTCCTATTTCAATTCATCTTTGGTGTGATAGCCGTGCAGCTGTTTCAAGGGAAGTTCTTTTACTGCAATGATCTCTCCAAGGAGACTCGTGAGGAATGCCAGTAAGTTTGAGCCTTCAAGTTACTCAACTTACTTTGTTGACTTAATGCAAAGCAGGTATTCTTAATGAATTTGGTAGGACAGATAATTTTACGTTTCAGGGCGTTTGTAATTTTCTTTATGCGCACGGTGTATATGGCTGCAAACACATCACGACTCTTACGCTGTGTCTGTCCCTTTCAAAACAAAGCAGTAAAAAACACTTCACGTTACTGACTGTCAACCACACAGCTGGTACTTGTAGGCACATTGTTGTCAGTCTTTCCATGAATCCGCATGATCTCTATAAAGCTCTATAAAACGAGTAGTCGCAGCACCAATGACTTGTGGGTTAATTAATGTTCGATGGGATACACTTGCGCTGCATCTATCACAATCTCTACACGTATGACAGTTTGACTGTCCTATCCGACGCGGTCCACCGTGTGCTCCACAGTATGGTGACGCAGGGCCATTGACCTGCACGTGAAGTCGTTTCAAATGATAATAGGATTGCGCTGCATCTAACGCACTTTCTCGTTCCTCACCCACCTATGCCCGTTGAGAGGAAAACGTGAAGAAGTTTGGGGGTGGGATCGAGTACAGGTAACTGGCGTGAAGTGACTCTGGACTTCCAGCAACCCCCTCCCCCCGCGCCGGTGCGGCAGTTCTTCTGGGACCGCAGCCCCACTAACGCCTACTATGCCTTTCTCTATTGCCCCTGTTGGTCCAGCACATCTGCCACTTGACCCGTTTAGCAGGCAACCGCACACATTCACATTCATGTGTGTCGAGATAACAGCAAGTCAACGGAAGGTAGGCGTAGGCGCTGTAACTAAATAGTTCGACTAGGCGTGCGGAATTCCACCCGCTGCCCGCCACATTTATCGTACCTCCATAAGGGTGTTCGAAGTGCCAGCTGAATAAATAGGGCTCTCTATAAATATAAAACCCTCTTCATTTTTGAGATGAGACCTTTCTTGAAACGTTATATATTGAAGGAATGTGCATTTGCTGGATTTGTAAATTCAAGACAATTTTGTTTATTAATTTGATCCGGTTTTAAAAAACTCAGCAACCTTAATTGGATTCGAACCCACGACTGGAAACTGTGAGTTAACGCACATCTGGTGCGAATGAATTGTTCAAGTCTTACAAAAAATATATCTTCTAAATTCCGTACATCATAAAAATTATCACACGTACCTTTTATGCAGCTTGATGTTGTGTTCGTAGTTCTAAAGGTTTCGGCTGGTTTCTTCAAACATGACAGTTGGCAGTATAACAGCTTGCTCAGCAGGAGTTTTTAACAGTTTCATTCCAGTCTTCATTTTGAAGAATGGATCCTGAAAGCTGTCTGTTAACAGGGGCACTCTCTGGTTTCTAGTGGGGATAGAACTTGTCCAACATGGAAGCTTTCGGAATAAAAGTAGTTTTATGCTGTCGATAACCATCCGACCTAATGGCTTTTGCAGCTTTTTCTAGACTCAGTGATTTTACCAGTCCTTGATAGTAGTACTGTCGCCAAACTACTGAAATGCCTTGTTTTAAGGTTTTGCTGATAAGAACCGGCAATTATCAAACTGAATTACCAAGGTAGAATAGGTCTGTATTTCCGACAGTAAACATACAATCAACCGAAACCCTGCATTCTGTTTTTTATCCTTTAATTAGAACTTTTGCCTCTAACAGCTAGGAGAAATTGGGGGCGGCACGAAACGATTTAGGTTGCTCTGCTGATAATGCCCAGCCAACTGTAGAATCAGACTGCTCCGCCTGAGATGAGAGGAAATGTAATTTTTCTTCAGACTTTGGTAATTTCCCCAAACAGCGCTTTCCGGTATGATAAAACTGTAGCGCAAATACTCATACTGCGGTCTGTGCTCTCCACAGACACAAACTCAATCAAGGTTTGGTAATGTTTTGCTGAAGCTAGAACTGTAAATACCGTAGACCGCGGAGTTGCATCTGTTTTTGCTTCACTTTTTGGAAGACATTCTCACCAACTCCTCAGAGTAGTTCAGGAGCAGTCTTCCTGAGTAGGCCCTTGGAGCAACTGCATGGTTTTCCAACTAGTTCACCGGATTCTGTTATGGCAGAAGACGCTTTATTTTAGATATCTAAACATTTAGACCGAACACTTCGGATGCAAATGCATAAAAATCCCTAGTCGTCGGCTGTTATGCTCTTAGGTTAGGCCGATGTCCACGTTTGATATTTCTGTTGTGTATTGAAATAAAATAAGAATAAGCATTGCCAGCCTGTTTAGTGACTGTCGTACCATGGTTTTTGGAATCGTCATTTCAAGTTATTCACTACGACAAAAATATATGTATTTATTACTTGTTTACAGCAGCCTTCCCGTTTTAGTAGTAGGCGATCATCCGAAAAAGAAAGTGTTTGATACACCCGCAAACCCGAGTCCCAGAATCCAAAAAAACAGCTCGACCGACGATTTCGACGATGTCCACCGTATGCTCCACAACAGCGTGGTGCAGGAACGGTAATTAAGTGCTGGATCATAGTGAGAGTAGACTTGCGAGGTATTTACCTCATTCTCTTTTCCCTCACCCACGTGGGTCTGGTATCAAGACATTGTCAAAAGCCTGGAAGCAAGATCGGGCACGGGATCGGCCGCTGCTCCAATGCGTGCCACAACAGTA